TCAGACTCACAATGGTAAGCCAGTTTTAAGGAACAGTTAGTTGAGAGGAAACGGGGATCTCATAAGGAGATAGAAAAAAAAAATACATGGTAAAGTTCTCTCCTCTTGTCTTGGTTCAGATAAGACTAAGGAAAGAGATTTTGTAATTTACCACAAAGATATAGTAATCAAAAGGGCATAGTACTGGAATAGGATAGACAGCTTTATCCATGGAATAGAATTGAGGGTCCAGAAATAAATCTATTTATCTATGGCCAATTGATTTTTGGAAAGGTGTCAAAACCATGGAAAGCAGAAAAAATAATCTCTTCAATAAATGGTGCTGGGGCAACTGGATATTCACATAAAAAAGGATGAAAGTGGACCTTTACCTCACACCATATAAAATATGAACTCAAAACAGATCAAAGACATGAGCATAAGAACTAAAAATCATGGAACTCTTAGAAGAAAATAGGTGTAAATATTTACGTTTAATGTTTCATGATCAATAGATTCTTAGACATAACACAAATAACAAAAGAAAGAACAGATAAATTGGACTTTGTCAAAATTTAAAACTTTTGTACATCAAAGAGCATTATCAAGACAGTGAGACAACCTCCAAAATGGGACAAAATATTTGCAAATCATGTCTCTCATAAGTCTTGTATCCAGAGTATACAAAGGACTGTTTGTTACAAGTCCAGAGCAAAAAGACAATTCAATTTAAAGAATGGGCAAAGGTTTTGAATAGGCATTTATCCAAGAAGATAAACACATTGTCAACAAGTATATGAGAATATGCTTAGTATAATGAGCCATTAAAGAAATGAAAATTGTGCTTGAAGCCCTGGGTTGGATCCCCAGCACTGCAAAAACAAAACAAAATGCCCAGAAAGAAATGCAATCACGGCCCCAGTGAAATAGCACTTTAATACTGTTATGATGACTATAAAAAATGATAAGTAATCTTGGCAAAATGTGGAGAAAATGGAGCCTTTGTACATTGCTGGTGGATTGTAAAACGGTTCAACCACTGTTTGGTGGTGCCAAAAAAAATTAAACATAATAAGAACAACTCATAACAGCTAAATCTTGGAAGGAGCCTATATGTCCATCAACAGATGAATGGATAAAGAAAATGTGGTATTCACACACAACGGAGTACTATTCTGCCATAAACAAAGATAAGGAAAATAGATGCACCTTGAAACCATAATGTTAAGTGAAATAAATCAGACACACAAGCTTAAATATTGCGTGGTTTCTCTTATATGAGAAACCCAAAGTATAAATAGTTTTTTTAAAAAAAAGATAATAGGGAACAGGGAATAGGAAGATAGAACTTCTGCCAATAGGAAGGAGATCTAAGAGATGGAGGCAGGGGGGAGTAAAAACAGTTAAGATGTGTTATGTACCTGTACCAACTCCCCACAATGAACGTAATCATTATGTGTTGCAAACATGGACTAATAAAAATGTTTAAATTAAAATAAAAATGAATTACCATATGACTCAGCAATTCCATTTTCCCTCAAGAATGAAAATAAGTGCATGAACAGTAATAACAGTATCATTCGCAAAGGACAGAAGGCAGACGCGACTGAAATTTCCACCCAGAGCCGACTCAATGAGCAAGTTGCAAAACATCCATACAACAAACTGCTATTCGGCCACAAAAAGGAATGAAGCTCTGAGATGTGCAGCAATGTGAGCAAACCTCAGGAACACCATACTAAGTGAAAGAAACCACGCACCTAGAGACTGAGGCAGGAAGATTGCAAGTTTGAGCCCAATCTGGGTGATTCAGTGACTTCTCAAGACCCTGTCTCAAAATAAAAATAAAAAGGGCACATACCCTGGGTGCAATCCCCAGGACTGCAAAACAAACAAACAAAGATGGATAGATATAGATAGATGTGTGTGATTAAAAAATACAGCTAGTGCTAAAATAAGAATATTTATTACAGTAAAAGAGACATTGCCATGAAGCCCCTCAGAGTCCTCCCCTCACTTTGAACACATCTCGACGTTTTTGGCCATGTGTCTTTTATATAATAAGTTCTTTTCAATTTAAGCATTCACCATATGCTTCAATCGCCCCTTGCGTGTGAGGGTGAGAAAGCCAGCAGAGTGCCTAGCGGAGGCCCTGACTGTCTTGGGGAGAGAGGCCAGATAGCCAGCTGCACTTGAAGTAGTGATCCAGCTAGTTCCAAGGACCCCACTCAGCTGGGACCCCAGCCTGGAGCTGCCCTGGGTCCGCACTGCCTGGCTCCATGGGAGTTAACCCGATTCTCTGAGGTCTCCGAGGGCCCCTCACTCCTCCTCCACCTGCCTGGCTGCCTGCAAGGCCTGGCTGGGCTCCAGGGAGCTCTCAGCACCTGTCCCCGTGTGCAGTGTGAGCACGCGCCCTGGCTGGATTCGGGCACAGCTTCAGTGGGCTCCGAGGACGGGACAGCTCTGGTGTGGGGACCTGGCACTGTGGATGCTACGGACCTATCTCTCTGTCCCATCAGCAGCACTGGGGTCCCTTTGGCCTCACCAAGAAAGGGCTTGGAACCTGCCAGGAGCATGGGTAAGTGAGAGCGCTGGAGAGCGCTGGGGGCCCACAGGGGTGACAGGCTGTGACACATCTGAGATGTGTGTGGCCAGCAGTGGTCTCCTGGTCACAGATGACAGAAGACCTGCCGCTGTTCTCGGGGTGTTGGAGGGGGTGGTCCAGGGCCACTTCTGATTGACCACTCCTTGATCTTCAGAGCTCAGTACCAACCCCGCCTCCTCCGGGAAGTCTTCCGAGGTCCCCCGGGGCACAAATCCCATGTTCACAGATCATCCTGCACTTCCTAGACAGCAATTTCTACCCTGTACCATAAATACTGGTGACCTTTTGGGTCCCACACACCAGACTGTGCGCTCCTTGTGGCCGAGGCTCTTCCTGTGTGGTCTGCTTACCTCATTGATGGCCCGAGCAGTGTTTGGGAACCTGTACTGACCTGGGGACAAGGGGCCAGTCCCACCCCCTACTTGGCCAGGCAAGTGCCCGTGGACATGTGTGTGTTCCTCAAGGAAAGATCATCCTGTTCTCTACTTCTCAATTTCACAGAACCGGGTGGGCAATGGGCTGAGGAGTGGGCGCCATGCCCTCTCCTGATGATCTCAGATCTTTGCATCATGCCCAGGGGGCTCTCTGCTGGGTCTTTAGGAGCCTACCCCTGTGGTTGTCCCCTGCCTGGCCGGATCTCCCTCTTGGACCCCATTTCTCATCCTCCTTCTACTCCTTCTTGGTCTCTTGTCTCCCAGGTCAGGGATTTCCCTTGGTTGGGGGTCTCAGCCCCTCCTCAGGATTAGAGTCTCAGAGTGTGGGAGAGACCCAGAGCCCAGATCAGAGAAGGGGAGCAAGGGAGTCCTGTGCTCTGAGTGGAAGCTGGGTTTTCCTTTCCACTTCTCTAAGATCATCTCAAACGATATTAAACAACAAATCAGATGCCTCACGCTGCAAGTGTTAATATCCTGCCCACAGATCGCAATGATCCATATATAAGATTCATGGTTTCCTGCTAGCATAATCTTTGGGCTTTATTATGCTGGAAGAGTGTCTGTCTCTTTCCTGACTTTGAATGTGACATTACAAAGCCGTCTTCTGTTGGTCTGGCCTTGGGGAGCTGTGTTTTCAATTTCTCTCAGATGCAGCAATTAGGGGAGACAAAAGTGTTAATTTGGTGCAAATAGACTCAGGCCACACCTTTAAGCTCCAGTTTGGGGTTGGGGACTCCCAAGCCACTGGCCGATGCAGTGAGACACAACCCTAAGCCCCAAAGCACACAGTGTAGGGGGGTGGAGAGGGCACCTGGGGTTTGCAATGTGGTGCTGAGTCTGCCTGGGAAGTTTAGGGTGGTTGGAGGGCACGTGGAAGAGGGGCCTTGCCTTGGGCCTGAGGGAGGACTTCCTGGATGAGGAGATGTCCGCAGGAGGCACGAAGAGCAGTGAATCATCCAGGAGCCTGTCCACCTGCACCTGACCCCTGGAACCTTTCCTCCCTCTCAAGCTGTGGAGAGACCAGGAGGCACCTGAGATGCCCTCTGGGCTTCGTCCAGGGTTGATGGGTTCAGTGGCCTGAACTCTAAAGTCTCAGCCAGGCCGAGTCCCTGTGAGCCTCCAAGGCCGGGCCTGAGCACAGTGGTGACCTTAAGAGGAACTGGATGTACTTGGGAAGCCATGGGGGGGTCCGTGTGACCTATGTGACCTATGACCCCTGATTTCTGCCTGGGAGACTCTCAGATGTGAGCTGAGTCCTGTTGTGAGACACGGGCCCTTGGTGCTGTCTGCTCTTGGCACTTTTGCTATGTGACAGCATTTTCCCAAGGGACCCGCCAGCCCTCTCCGCAGTATTGTTCTTCCTGCCACTGAGGAAGGGGGCTGGGAATACTGCTCTAATTTGACTTGGGTGTGTATTTCCCAAAGCTGAGGCTGTTACCTCGGACAGCTGCCATCCTTGAGTCTAGAGTGAGTTTTGTAGTTCCAGGTGCAATGAACAATCTCAGATTGGGTTAGCAACTCTACAGAAGGGCTGAATGGGAACTTGAGCACATGGACCAGAGGGGAAGAGGAAAAAATCTAGAAATATTTAGGAATGGCATGGAAGGTGGGTCAGTGGTGGGATGTCCTTGGGGTGGATGTGACATGTTACTTTGTGACCAGCAAGGTGATGTGATTTCAAGGGAGGGATGCTTATTACCAAGAGGCATCAGGGAAAAGGTCAGCACAGCCTTGGAGCTAGATGATACTCACAGACAATGCATTCTAGTTCCAAACTGAGACCGAAACCCATTGCTTTAGTTGGTAGAGCCACCATGTCACACAGCTCTAGCAGGGAACCACCGTATTCTGTGTGGATGGTCTTCTTGGAGCCCAACTCCTGGAAAAGTGCAAACATTTAAAGTGTAAACCACTCTGATTCAGTGAGTCTTGGTTTTTCACATCCAAAAATGGAGATTCTAGTGCATTCCTGACACCAGGAGTGGAAGAATTGCGAGATCTTTATCAACCATATGCATCAGGTGCAAAACATCTCAAACATTGGCAACTGTCACCCACCTGGCAGGCAAACCCCACATCACAAGCCCTGCCTGGTGTTCAGTTCCTCTGTGAGCCTTGATTGCTTTACTGCTGGTCAGGTCCCTAGCCTGCCTGGACCACAGCTCCTTGGTGGTACCACGGGACGTCCCTCGACTGCTTGCCCTCATAAATCCATCCCCCAGCTTCCACGCACCAGCCTGGACTGGAGATTGGGGCCTGAACACAGGGATTCCCAACAGAAAAGGGGGTAATTTTGAAACTATTGGCTCCTTTCATCACCAAAGTGCTAGGGAAAAAGAGTTGAAACTCTCAGAGGCCCATGAATTTGATCCCGTGTGTGTGTGTGTGTGTGTGTGTGTGTGTGTGTGTGTGTGTGTGTGTGTGTGTTGGTACCTGCCATTCAAGGTCAAATTTTGTCTAGAGATTTCCTTCTTCTAAACCCAAAATGTCCACTTGGAAGGAAAGCCCATCCTTTAGCCTCAGGGGTTCTTGGTACCCATCCTTCCCTAAGCAAAGCCTGCCCCATAGTCTGACACCCTGAAAGGGCTCTCGTGGGACAGTGGCCTGGGTGGTGGCATTTGAGGTCCAACAGAAGAACGCAGGAGCAAGTTCTGCTCTCCAAGTCCAAGACTTTTGAGATCGTGTCACGGAAGATGCTGAGTCGAGTGTCTACTCAGTCACACAGGCTGTAGCTGTCCAGTCTCGGAGAGGAGACCCAGGACTTATATTGATTTGCAGAGATGGTGCCTTCCTGTCCCACATTCATGAAGAAAACTATTTCTCCAGATATCCAGAGCCGCCATGTTGCACAACTTCAGGCAGTACAACTCTGAACGGTGCCTCCTGCAGAAGATCTTTCCTAAGATATAGGACATAATATGCAAAATAAGAATGGCATTTTCATTGTTTTGCAAAGTCACAGAGTCCTGCTTTCAGCTGTGTCCCCGAGTTGACTGCGTACTGGACCTAACAGAGGCATCTACCTTGGCTGTGGAAGGTCTAGCATAGCGTCGGTATTGCTGTCTCTGTACTTTGGGTTACAGCACATTCCGGGGTCTCACTCCCTTTCTCTCAGGGTAGAAGTGAGACCTGAGCATTTACACCTTCTGCCTAAGCTGCCCTGGGGCCATGGAGGTCAGGAGACTGCAGCTCACAGCTGGGCCGGGCCTTTGCCAGAGATGGGACTTGTCTTGTTCCCAGTCAATTCTGATCTAGCCATTAGGCCTCTCTTTTTTTCTTCCCCCTCTTAGATCTTCCTCTCTAATAATTACAGCAGTGTCCCTCACTCCCCTCTGAGCTAGACTCCTGGGAGTTCATTGAGTCCTTGGAAGAAATGGTAGATGGCTGTGGCTGGTCTTTACCTATTGCTGTTTCAGGACTCCTGGCCACTGGCCACATGGTGACCCAGCCTCAGTGCCCTCTGGCTTTCAGGCTGTGTCCTGCAGGAGGGACCCAGAGGCCAATCACCCGAGCAGTGTTGACCATCATGGTTGCATAAAGTATCCAGAAGTGAGGATTCAAGCTTCTGCAGGCTCTTGGCAACAGTTAAGAGGAATAAGTTTTTAACAGCAGGGGTCCCTGGGAGGTGGCTTTTGGGGTGATTACCCTTGTCCTCTTTAACTCTCCCTAAGCTTGTGTGTAAGCTAACAAGTACTGTGGCTGGGAAAAAATGAACAGAGTCCAGCCTTAGCATGGACCACGAAAAGGGGCAGGGCTGCATAGGGGTCTTTAGATTAGAGGAGGGTTGTGCATGCTTCGGACTTCCCGGCAACCCCTGTGCCCTCCTCTGCCCAAGTCCCCTCGTGTGGCTCCAGTCACATCCAGAGGGACCCAGATGCAGCGCTAGATGGTGGCTGCTCACCGCCTGACAGGACTGTCCTCAGCCTCAGAGCCTCACAGCTGATGTGGCTCTGTCCTCAGCGTGGGGTTCTGTGCATGGCGCTGAGGCGCAGGGACTATGGACAAGCTGGCGATTCGCTCCTCCCAAGCCTCAGCTCCTCTTCGAATCCTGGCCTTGCAGACTGATTTGTTTTCTTAGAAGCCACCGGTATCATTGCTAATTCCACAGGCTGTGAGATAAGGAAAGGAAGTTAGGCCAGTGAGCATCAAGAGATGGCCTTGCCGAGTGACAGTGGCCTGGTTTAGGGAAATGACACTGATGCTCATGGGACATATCATCCAGCGCTCCCTGCCGGGCTGCCTCTACCCAGAGCGGCCAGAGGGAGCTGGTGCCTGAGGTCACTTGAGAGCAAGGCCATCTGTCAAGGTGTTTGGGAGCCACTGGCCACCTGCGGGAGACTCACCTGCCTCCTGGGCTGCGGTGTCAGCCAGCAGGCAGCATAGGGAACCTGCATCTGTGCAGTCGGATTTGTGGGGGGAGTCGGAGGCCTGGGGTCCTGTGCTCTGGGAACAAATCTCATGAATGAGGCTTTCATGCTTCCCAGGCCTGGCTCTTGGTGTGGACCTGTCACGCCCTCCCACGCCCTATTCTATGGGACAGAAGTGCCACCCCCCACTGAGGCAGAGGATGGAGAAGGAAGGAGAGGCTAAGCAGGATGACATGCAGGGCACTCCATCTGGGCCTCTGGGGAGACTTTGCCCAAGACAGACAGTTTGCCCCCCGAATGCACAAAAGCCCCTGGGACATTGAGGGCATGAGTTAGCAGCATGCCACCACCCACAGAGGGAGGCTGGTGGCTTTCCACCTTGGTGGCCGAGGCTGGCACGGACACTTTGTTTTTGTGGAGTCTGAAGCTGGGGTCCAGCATCTTGCAGGCAATACTCCAAGCTCCTGGAGGCTAAGTCCTATTGGAATCCTCAAAATGGGAAAATGTACATTTTCTTGGATTTAGCAGTTGGTAGGCAAGAGAAGAGGAGTGGTTGTTTCTTAGGTTTTCTGCTGTTGTTGTTCATGCATTTGGGTGGCTACAGCTGACTTCTGCAGGCGGGCGCACTGCGAAAGAAGCTAATGTGAGGCAAAGGGGAAAATTAATAAATCATTCCTTGAATATTATTCTAACAATTAAGACAACTACTTGTTTCTTGAACAGACTGTCCCCTGATGACAGGTCACTGGTGGCTGCAGATTGTTGACATTTTATTAGAATTTTACTGGTGCGAGCTTTATAAATTTTACATTTTACACCAGAGAGCTCTGGTCATTAAGGTTGTCAATATGGAAATACATCTACTGATTCATGTTCACCTGAGTGTGTGGTAGGACAGCCTTGGATCAATATTCAAGATAGAGTTAGTCATCCCAGCACTCTGGGAGGCTGAGGCAGGAGGATCAAAAGTTCAAGCCTAATCTAGACAACTTAGGGATTTAGCAAGTCCTCATCTCAAAATGAAAAATAAAACAGGACTTGGGATGTAGCTCAGCACTTAGGTACTGGGTTCAATTTCCAGTACCTCGAATAAAAAAGGAAAAGGTGAAACCTGTCTGTTAGAAAGTGGGAAGAGGGCCGGGGATGTAGCTCAGTGCCTGTCTTGCTAGTGCAAGGTCCTGAGTTCAATCCCAGGTACCCCTCCCCCCCAAAAGTGGGAGGAAAAACGGCTGCCTAGAGTGGTGATTGGTGCAGGGGGGTGGGGAAAGTAGAGCTTTGATGGCTAAACAGGAGTTCACCAGGGCCTCCAGGGAAGGCAGTCCAAGCCAGAGGAAGGCTCGTGCCGAGGCCCCTCGATGTGTGAAGCCGGCCGTTTCCAGGAGCTAAGGGTGCAGCAGGCAGGAGTCCTTTTCAATGACAGGAGCTGGAAGGAGATGAGGGTGATGAAAAGCAGTTTGGTGCCAACAACTTATAAGCCTCGAAGGCAGATTGTGGAGTTTGATTTTTATCCCAAACACCATGGAGAACAAATGTCTTGTATTTTAGAAAAATGGTTCCAGTTGCAAGCTCTTGCTCGACTTCCCTTCGCTGCTGACTGCCCTGTCTCTGTAATAGGGCCCTTAGGAATCACATGTAGTTGGAGAACACTTTTTCTCTCTCTTTTTGTGATACTGGGAGTTGAACCCAAGACCTTTATACTGAGCTACATCCCCAGCTCTTTTAAAATTTTATTTATTTTGAGACACGGTCTCACTAAGTCACTAAGTTGCTCAGGCGGGGCTTGAACTTGCGATCCTCTTGCCTCAGCCTCCCAGAGTGCTGGGATCACAGGCGTGCACCATCCTGCCCATTTCAAGACCCTGCTGCACTGTGTAGCAGCCTCCTCTGTGCCTCCCTTCTTTCTGCTTCCCCCGCAGCCTGCCCAGGACTGGTCTCTTGCCCTCCCTGCTGTTCTTCCTTCCCTTCTCCTGCCTCGCTGGCACCTGGGAGCACTGGGCCTGTCCATTCTGTCTCCACATCACCTCCCCAGCCCTGTCACCTTCCGGGTCCCAGGGTCCTGTTTGGCCCAGACTCTTGAGTCCTCTTGATGGGAACTGGCTCAACCCCGGGTTTCTCACACATCTTCTCCTCTGCAACTCTTTTTTGCTTGTCTTTCTGGCCACACAGGGCCTGGGGCATCATCGCCTCTGTTTGTCACTGTATCGGCTGTGCCCACTGGGACATGGGCATGATTTGTGGATGAACGCAGGGAGGAGGATTCACTTAGCAAGTTCTTGTAAGGGACCAGGCTAAGCATAAAAAGTCCTTGACTTGAGCCAGCAGCAGTGGGGATGGAGGACAGGGGACAGCTTAGGGTCAGATTTCCAAAGGAGCACAAATAAATCATTTTCCATGTGACTACAGGAGGAGCAGGGAGTGGTGAAGACAAAGTGACACACAGCAAAGACATTTCACTCCCATCCCACACTCCCACCCTGCAATTTTGTGTTGCTCTCTCTGCCTCTGCCTTTCCACTCATGACAACCTTCACACAGGAGGGGGACTCGCTGGCCACTGGCCTGGCTGGGCCTCGATCTTGGGCAGAGTCTGGCCCTTTGGTCAAAGCTCTTTGCCATGCACAGCCCTTGGCTGCTGGTCCTGTCTTTCTGCAGAAAGTCCAGCTGGATGAAGCATTGCTTGAAACTTTCTGTCCACATTGCCCGCTCTTTCTCCTTGTGTCAGAGTGGATATCTGGCCATGTTTCAGGCAATGACCCCTTTCTGGGCTGGTTTTCATGTACTTTGTCCCCAAGAGTTCATGTTTTAGATTTGGTCCCCTGTGTGGCCATGTTGGGAGGCAATGGGATCTTTCAAAGGTTTAGTGACAAGTCCTTGGGTTATCAGGGGCACCACCCTCAGAAAACACTAAGGAAATTCTCACGAGACCCAGAGTTCCCTCTCACGAAGAGGTTGTTATAAAATCAGTCTGGCCCTACCTCTCATGGTGGCTTCCTGTCAACCAGTGTGATCTCTGACTCCCGCACACTCTTCTGCCAAAGGCCAGACAAATGGGGCTTCCCTATCTTAGACTTTTAACTTCCAAAAACTATGAATTAATTTAAACAAACCTTTTTCATTGATAAAGTTTCCCAGTGCTGGGTATTTTGTTATAGTAATGAAAAACAGACCAGTACACCCTCTTCTCAGGATGTAAGGACTCCTTATATCCAGAAGGCTCCCTCAGACTTTTTCCAGCCTGCTCAGTGTTGGCTCCTGTTATCAGTGTGGCTCTTATTTGAGGGGGTCACAAAGCACAGGAAGGGGGAGGTGGAGTGAATTGAGAGATAACATAAAGCCTTACAATTCCTTAATAACACACTGTCCAAATTTCAAAATGTTAGTAAAGCATGCTAACATTTACCTAACACACCTAACATAACTAAATAATGACAATAATATAATAATTTACAATAGTGTGTGAATTATCTCAGTCCTTGGCTGTGTTGGCATTCAGTTCAATTCTGCAAAAGTAAAGTTTCCCAGTTGCTCATTGTTCATTTTGAATTCACTAGATTTAAAACTACACTGGGAATGTTTTTCTTTTTGATGTCTATAAATTAGTGTAATATGTGAAAATATATAATACAAGAATGTGCCAGTCAGCTCCAATTTGAGGAATGATCTTCAAACTTGACCTTTTCCTATCATTTCCTTTAATCTGTAAATGTTAACATTCACACTGAAAAATACTTACTGTGTGTCAGATGTTCCCCTGAAGGTTTCATCGTGACTATTAGAACACTCCAATTTGGGATCTCCAAGGAAGATTTCTGTCCAGTCAGGGAAGCAAAAACCACACTAGATGTTTCAAACAGATGGCATTTGATATGGAGGATTAGTTGCACGGGAGTGGGGAGCTGAAATAACCTAGAGATTAGCAACTGCAAGAATCTCCACCAGCCCTAGAGTTGGGGAAGAAGAGGAAAGAAATGGCCTGTCCTGGCCTGAGCAGGGCCAGCGGGGCTGGTGTTCAGCCTCTGTAAGGGGTGTCGACCCCCAGAGCTGCAGTGGCTGCTACTCCACTGCCAAGGGTCATAGCCTGGTTGCTGCCGTCCCTCTGCAAGGGGCAAGGCTGGTGCTGGAGGGGATGCAGGAGGTGGCATTAGCAATACCAGAGGATTCTGGGAGCCTGAGCCAACTGTCCACTGCCATCTTTCCTACTCACCTTTCCACCTGCCCCCTGAGCCTGCCTTGCTGAACCCAGCATGAAGCCAGTGGGCCAGGGTGCTGGCAAGTGTGGCCTGGAGCCCCATCCCCAGCACTTCTGGGTGACCTGGAGCTGGGGGCAGTGGTGAATGAATAGAAGATGTATGGACAGACCCACCCTAGGCTCCACAAAGTCATTCCCACCTTGAACAGAATTTGGGCCTCCTGGGTTGTGGTCTGATGAGTTTATCTCCTAGAGGCCTGGTGGGTGACGCTCCTGCAGATGGGAATGAAGAGGGCAGACCTTCCCATTGGCCAGTCTCCATGGAAGGGAAGGGGTAGGTCATTTGGGGGAAGGACTGCAAGCAGTAGCCCTTAGGCAGCAGGAGGGAATCCCTTCCCCCTCTGGGCCTTGTCGCTTCTGTTAGGACACTGAGAGCACAGAGGAGCCATGAGGGCCTTTCCTGGAGATAGATACAGTGTTCTGGGCCAATGGCCAGCTCACAGGCAGCTGGGGACCCCAGTAGAGTGGAGCAATGGCCTCCGCCCAGCTGACCAGCTTCCAGTGCCTATCTGAGTTCACTGCACTTTTATCCAAATTGCCCAGCCTGCTCTTAGTTCTGTCTGAGGAAGTGTGGAGATTGCTGGGGAAAGGTGTGTACTGTGGCACTCGGGGCACAGAGGCCCGCGAGGTCAGCCACAGGGATGCAGGGAGCATACCAAGGGCCCCTAGGAGGTGTGGCATAGGAAGCAGGTCCTTGTTCCCATGAAATCAGGGCTTGGTTTTATTAATGAAAGGCCAGGAAGAGGGCTGTAGTAGGGATGGAGATGGACATAGCTCTAGACATCTCCTGGTCTTTGGGGTTCTTGCTGGGGCTCTCTGCTGTGCCCTGAGTCCTTACTGTGAGATGCACCATTAGGCACACAGGGCTCTGGGGCTGAGCCTGCAGGACCCCTCTGCATGCCAGCCATGTACCCCCTGCCTTGGAAGTGAGAGAAGGGACAATTTTCCTGGACACCAGAGGACAAGGGGCTGTGTGTGTTCATGTCCAGAGTCTGCAGACAGAGACCTTCCTGCCAGCGGGTGGGGGTCGCTGGGCATCCGAAGGTCGGAGCCAGGCAGGGTCCAGTGGGCACAGAGAGTGGTTTGCCAGGAAGGTGAGGAGATTTTGCCTCAGGACCATCTGGAGTCTAAAGTGCCAACTCAGACAGGTGTGGTGGCACGCACCTGTCAACCCAGCCATTTGGGAGGCCAAGGTGAGAGGATCAAATTCAAGCCCAGCCTGACTTAGTGAGACCTTGAATGAAAAATTTCAAAAGGGCTGAGGATGTAGCTCAGTGCAAAGGCCCTGGATTCAATTCCCAGTACTAGAAAAATAAAAACAAATACATTAATTAACGCCACCTCTGTGTGACTCAGGTGGCTGGAGCTGGCCACATGCAGGGTCCTATTCTCAAGGGAGAGGCTGGGTCAGGGCGCTGGTGACCACCCCACTCCATTCCTTCCTGACTTGGAGGCCCTCAGCACTGATCTCCAACAGTGCTCCTCCAGATTTTATTTTAGCTCAAGCCCTCTACAGTTTTCTGTTCCCTAAGCCAAGAGGCTTTGGTCAGGCTCGACGTGCAGAGAAGTGCACAGCTTTCTGAGTCCAGGCCTTCCGTGCCTTCTCTTTCTGCTAAGGGCGTTGCTGGCTTGGTTCAACCCTGTCGTTTTAGAAATGAGTAACCCAGGCTGGAGAGGGGAGGAGGTCACATGAGCTCCCCCATCCTGGGGCGGGGGACCGAGGTTCAGCCCCCATTCTGCAGCCCAGCTCCCTCCCAAGCCTCTGCATTTACTCCACAGTGGTGCTGATCGGCTGGTTTACTTTGTATTTAAAATGCCATGAAAGTTGCTGCTGTGTTGATGAATGAAGCCTCCCAGGAAAGTCATTTCCGTTGTGCACAAGATGAGGCCCCAGCCACTGTCCAAGAAGGAGAAGCGGAAAGAGGCTGCGTGGCAGGGGGCCCCCAGCAGTGATAGTCTGGATTAGTTTCCCCCCAGCTCTGCTGTAGCAGCCGGAGAGGTAGGGAACCCCACAGGCCTGCTCTTTCCCTGGCTCCAGGCCGCCTACTCCAGTCTCCCTCCTGGCCACGCTGTCATGGCTGCTTCTCTTGGCGATGCCCTGGCTAGGGCCAGTGGAGGCAGGTGTCTGTCCACCTGAAGGCTGCGTGCTTCATGCCTGGGTGTGGAAAGATGGGCAGTGTGCATGGCTCATGAGATGTGTGTGTGTCCTGGGGTAGGCACATGTGTACATGAACAAACACGTGTGTTCACGGGCAGGCACATGTGTGGGGAGATGTGTGTGCACATGGAAGATGTGTGTGTTTCATTAAGCAGTTATTTGTACATGGGCAAATGTGTACATGGACAGAAATGTATGCACAAGGTCAGACGCATGCATGTACACAGCCAGGCACGTTTGTGTACACAGACAGGTATGTGTGTGTATACAGGTAGGCCTGTGAGTGCACACGCAGGTGTGCACATGTGCCTGGCAGGCATGTGGGTTATTGCAGGCAAGCAGGCCATGTGCAGGTCCCTGCTGACTGCTACCACACAGAGCTCTCAGGAGAGGAACACAGAGCGGAGACCACACTGCCAGCTTGCTGGAGAAGCGTCCCACCCAGACCCCTATTGGAAAGTGTCCCTGATGTCACTGTGCCCAAGGGCCCCAGCACTCTGCCCTGACCAGGAGACACCAGGGAGGACGTCGGTACTCACCACGGGGGAGGGCCGGCAGTCCTGACTCAGACCCTGCAGCCCGAAGACACTGCGTTCCAGGCCGCACCTTCCCCTCTTCTGGGCTGCTCCTGCTTCTGTGCAGGCTGCCCTCCGCGGGGTCCAGAGGAGCCTCTCCCAGCAGCTGGGAGCAGCAGGCAGCCTGAGAAGCCCCAGCAGTAGCCAGGAAGCATCAGCACCCTTCAAATTGGGACTCTAGCCCTTTAAATCTGCTCGGTTACCAAGAAAGAAGAGGCATCAGACCCTGTTAATTAAAGCTCGCCCTAGTCCATCACTCTGTGGAGCTGCAGTGCCCGGCTCCTTCCTGGAGACTTAGAGATTCTCCTGAACTCCCAGCCATGGATCTTGGAGCATTTCTCCCGAGATCAGCAGGAGGTATGATTCTTGCCGATGGCACTGGGAGGCTTGGGTGGCTCTAAATCAATTTGACAGCTGACTGCATGGACGCTGCCTGGCCCCCTCTCTTTCCCTCTTCCCCTCTGCCTCCTCTCAGTTTCCCGGCTTGTGTGTAGTTGAGACAAATCAAGTTTTCATGGGTTGGAGGAAGGAAGGTCCGGAGGTGCAGTAGTTCGGAGTGTGCTTGTTTTGGCCCTGGCTTCACCTAGCTGCCAAAGTGGTTTGGAGGAGCGGGGAAACAGTCCTTTCAGTTCTGGCTTGTGCAAAATCATGTCTTCCTGGCCGGGTCCCTTCCCCCTGGTTATCACCCTGACTTGACTCGCTTCAGCTTCTCAATTCCATGACCTGCTACTCGGTCTGAAGGTGGCTGTGCACCATGCCCTGTTTTACGGGAAAACTCATTCCATGCAACTTTCCCTTCGTTAGTCGTCCAGAGGGACACCGAGCCCAGCGACACCTGTCCCCCGGCTCCGCTCCCCTCTGCTCTGAATGCTGCTGGGTTCAAGCGCTTGCTGTAGGATTTCAGGAATCCTGAACCCTGTCCCCAGTGTCTTTTGAGGAACTCACTTTTAGCCGACTCTCAGTCCTGTTGAGAAGAGTTGTTTTGCTTCAGGAATCTGCTCAAGCCTGGCAGGGAGCAGATTCATCTTCGTACATTGCATTTTGTAAATTGTACTCGGGCCCAGAGAACATCTATCTGCAAATCCTTCATTGATTTCTCTTCGCCCCCACAGCTTCCTTCTGGGTGAAACACTCACTGGGAGTCAGACCCAGAGGAAGGGTTTCCTTTCCATCAGTTTGACGCGGCTCCACAGACATCCCTGAAATCTAGACCCTGGCAGAGGGAGCTGTTTTGGTTATTCTGAGTAAGAGTCATCAGGTCCTGGGAGGGACATGGGCCCAGGTGGCCTGGGAAGGGTCTCCGTGATTCCCCCCTGCACCCATGAGAGGCGCTTGGGAGGAAGCACTTTTCCTGATTCTTCCAGGGGCTTTGAAACAAGCTGAGTGATGAACATCATCTTTCAAGCCTTGAGAGGGCTGTGCACCAGAACACAGCTTGTGAGAGTGGGGATTTTCCCCAGAAGTTGTTGCCTGCAGAATGCTGAAGTGTTTACAGGAACAGCAGCTACTGCGTGCAGCTAATCCTCCCCAGTGCCCACAAAGGCCAGGCACTGTCCCTGCGTGAGTGTCCTGGAAGTTGGCCTGTCTGCTTCCTGGCCACTCTGGGCTCAATACAATTCGTATTATTGGGCTAATAAAACTATCTGCCATGGCAGAAACTCTCAGGTGAGGAGACACTGTTCAAAACCTATGAAGGAAGCACGTCCATCAGTGGATTTGTGTGGGAATTTGAAGATTCCAAAACAAGAACTCAGGGAGAGATGTCACGAAGGTGGCGAGGGTGGCACTGGAATTTGGTGGCCTTTTGCATGGCCGGGTCTCTCAGCTGGTCTGTGAGTGGCTTTACTGAAGGATGGAAGAAAGCTGTGGCTGTGCTGAGTAGGTGAGTTCCTGGGCTCCCAGACAGAGGGGATGGCGACAGGGCCCAAAGTGGGGTGACCCCACAGCTGGCACCCTTTCCTGCCTTCCTTCCCAGGGCCATGGGCCCTCTGCTTCGCTGGGCATGGTTGCTTAAGAGTCAGCACCCGCCTTCTGCTCTCCAGGGAAGCCAGAGAGCCCAAGTGTCACAAAATAGGCCTGGGACAAATGTCACTGCGTCCTTGGACTGGCGAGGCCCATTAACAATAAGTAAATGAGTAGATTGTTCCTTTACGTCAATTTTTCTTTTCATCTTACTGGCATGCTGTTTGCTTTTGATTTACTGATGTCTGCCGGAGTTTGTTTGGACCTGACAACTTTGCAGGCTTGGAAGCCCATGGGTTTTCCCCCAGGGACCTTGGTGGCTTCTCACATTCCCCGGGTGGCAGAGTGGAAAGGGCATGGCCTTCAGGGACTGGCTGACCTTGGTTGGAATCTCAGCTTCATCACCTAGTAGCGTGTGTCACAGGCCTATGATCTGATGTCACTGAGCCTCAGTTTCTCCATCTGTAACATGGTAAAGTTGTCAGGATTAAAGGGGATGATTTGGCTGATGTCTGCATGTGTCATACGCACAAAGAAATCATTCTTCTTCCTGTTGTAGCCGTCTTTAATGAATGAACCGTTTAAATAGCTACACTGGCTCCTTCACTCATGCTGACTGCACAGCAGGGACAACCTCGTCTGTGTCACTGCCCCCTCCCATGGCTCACACAGGGCACAGCATTCTTGCTCCCTAAATTAACCAAATGATTCTGTGATGATCTGTGGACTTTTAACCTTCCACATAGGTGATTTTTAATGACCTAGCAAGACCAATTCGCAGTTTACTTAGGAAATAGAATTTAGTCAGATAGATAAAAAAAGCCCCATAACTGTAATAAATTCGGATTAAGATGTATCCATTTATGGAGAAATTTGAATTGCAATAAAGAGGTCTGCTGCCCTGGGCCTGGATGAGGTGCCTGTGGACTCAGGAAGTGTCCTTGGAGCTGTTCTGTTGGCCGAAGACACAGCTCCCCCAGCGCGAGCTGCTTCCTCCCTTCCACCCTTCAAAGAGGACAAGAGGCTCTGAGAAGTGAAACCAGCTCTGGGTGGAAAGAGGTGCTTAATGGTCACTCCAGTGTGGAGAACAAGCCAATCAATATATCAATTAACCAATCAGTTGGACTGTGCAGACACTTAGCACCTTTTGGGGAGAATCATTGATATGATAAATACTTATCAACAATAATAAGCATCATAATAACTAATACCACCACTCCCCCCTGCCTCTCGTGGAGGGTCTCTCCCCTGCTGGGGGCTGTGGTATCAACATGAGAGTGACATCACCCCTGTTTCCAAGTGGGGGGACAGATGAGCTACCAAAGGGTGTTAATGCATCCCAGGAGAGGCCAGGATAGGCCTGAGCCCGGTGGAGTGTGGGAGCAAAGTCATGGAGCCCACCCAGCTGGGGCGCCTTCACCTAGGTGATGCTAAACTGAGTCCCCTAAGAGGTGGTTTTGGGAGAACATTCCAGGCTGAAAAGTGGCACATGAGAAGAGCTGAGGTAGAAGGGACACGTGCAGAGGTGGTGGCCATTCCATCTGGCTGTGTATCGATGGGCATGAGGTCAGAGAGGAGGCCAGAGGTCTGATTCCTCCATTCTGAGGGAGATAAAGAGTCACTAAAGAACTTTCAGCAAGAGAAGTATTTGCGAAAATCAAATCCAGCAATTCTATATTGAGCATTGATCTTCTACTGTGCTGGGTTCCAGGCACTGGATGCAGCAGAGAACTAAACAAGCAGAAACCCCGATCTTCTGGAAGTTTCATCCAGTGGGGGAGAGAAAAATAAGCACGGGAAAGGTGAAGTGGGCATAGCACATCAGACCGTGAGACAGGCCATGCAGAGGGGGAACAGCGGGAGAGTCCTGGGAGCGTGGGGAGGTGCACCATCCTAAAGAGCAAGCAGGGAGAAGGCGCTGCCTGGTGGCCTTGGGAACCAGACTCTCAGCGAACTTTGGCTTTGACGTTGAGTGAGCCGGATGCTAGTGCTGTGCTCCGAGTGCAGGGGAAATATTTTTAAACAATCCTCTTAATTACTGGTTGAGAAAGACTGCAGGTGGGCCGAGGTCGAAGCAGGAAGACTAGGTAGGAAGTGACCAGGAATCTCAGGAGAGAGATGACAGCGGCCAGGGCGTCCTGGTGGAGGTTGGGAGGGGTTGTATCCTGAACTTTCTCTCTCTAGGATGGAGGCGATGGGATTTGCTGACGGATTGGACAGTTGTGTCAGAGAAAGGGATGACTCGAGGATGACTCAAGCTGCTTTGGCCTGAGACAGGGACAGTGTGGGCGGAGCGGGAGCTGGGTGTTTCTCATGTTCACTTTGAGGCGTCTGTCGAGCCTCCCAGGAGGTGTGGAGTGGGCAGTCCTGGAGCTCGAGGAGATCTGGGGGGAAGACAGCCCCAGAGTCGTCAGAGTCCAGATGGTATTGCAGGCTCTGTCCGATGAGATCATCAGGAGGTGGATGGGAGAAGGAGAGGACCGAATTGAAGGCACCCGAGGAGCTATTCATAGGTTGTGAGGAGACTGAGGAGCGATGTTGCCCATGTTCAGGACAATTCATGGCTGCTGCTGTTTGGATCCTAAGTGTCCCCCAAGGCCCACGTGTTTGAAGCCAGGTCCCGAGCTTGGCACTGTGGGGTGATGGTGGCACCTTTAAAAGGCAGAGCCTCATGGAGGGTCTCTGGAAGGAGCAGTGAGCCCTTTGAGAGGACTGCGGGATCCTGGTCACTTCTTTACTCGCTCTTCTGATTTCTGGCTTGAAGTGTGAGTGCTTTTGCTCTTCCACATGCACCTTCCATGGGGAGCTTCCTCATCACAATCCAAAGCAAAGGGACTGATGCAGCTGTGAGCCCAATGAACCTTTTCTCTTTATAAGCGGATCATCTCAAGTATTTGTGATGGTATTGGAAAGCTGACTAATACCACACCCTTCTTACACCTGATTTCCTTCTTTTGCTTGAGACCAGGACTTGTAGGTAATTCACCTCATGTTTGGCTTGTCCCACTCTTCTACCTTCTTCCTCATCTTCTGCAGACCTGCTCAGATGTCTCTTGTCTCCCCAAAACCCTCCTTTACCCTCAAGTTCTCCATTAGCATTTACATTTTTTTCTTTGTTCCTTCATGAATAAACTTTTCTTTCAGCATTAATCAAACAACTCCTAGGCATGGAAGACATACAGAAAAAAAACCTAGCCTTTATCTTACTTGAAAATAATGCCTATTTATTTCTCTCTTATTTATTTCCATAAAGCATTTTGAGTAGCATTGTGGTTGTGTATATACAGTGAAAATGATCATAAGCTAAGCAAAAAATATTTTGTACCCCAAATTTGTACTTGTATTCTAAGATACAATTTAAAAAGAGGAGCAAAATCAGAAAAAAAAATAGAATT